TTGTTAGCCAAGCAATATAGTCAGAGGTCAGATTAGGGCAAGACCTGAAGACCCTAACACTTCTGTTGAAGAAACGAAGGTCGATCTTCTCGTGTGTAGGGTCTTCGTTGTCTTCTGCGTCCTTCTTGGCGCATGCTACTGGTTTGAGTTTCTCGACGATGGGGAAATAGCTCTTGATCTTCAGAGCTTCAGAGATGCTTGGGTTCATGGGTCCAGACATTGCGAAGATCTGGTTGGAGTACCCAACCGGGATCATCAAGTGACGCGAGTAGGCATCGCGAACGGAGATGTCAGATGGTTCAGGGGCCCTTCGTTTCCCTGTAGCGTTCACTACCGGAGCAGTAACAAAGACCTTAGGCTTAGCAAGTTGTTCAGTTGGTGCGTTAGTCTTGGGGGCAGTGGAAGCAGAGGCCATTGTTGAGGATGAAGATGAAGTTGGAAAAGGAAGAGTTTTTCTGCAAAGAGAACAAGTTTGTAAGAAAGCAAGGGAGTTTGAAGGCTAGTTTGCGTAAAAAATCCCACAATGGGATATTCACCACTATTTATAGTAGTGGGAGAAATTCCCAATAACGAGGACATTAAATGTCATTTAATGCTGCAGGAATTAGTGGGACGCGTGGCAGCATCCTGTTGTTTTGGCCGTTTCTGCAGAAACAGAGAGACGCAGCGTGCGTCCTCGTTTTTGGGATTTGTCATAATGACAAATTCTGAAGTGATGTTTGGTTCTGCACGCCGTACTGAAAGTGACGTCCTAGGATCAAATCAATGATGGTTTCTTGGGATTGCCAAGAGTTGGTAAAAAGCAACAAAAAGTGCACAAGTTAACTTGTGACTAAGCATGGAAAAACAGGTGTCGAATGGCGTTTTCAAAGAATGCCTTTTTCTTTCAGAGTCGAAATAAGGCATTCTTGGGGGGCAATTTGTTGGCTCCTAAATTCGACACCTTTGTTTTGATTGATGGCAGCCATTAAAAGCTGAAAGATGCTTTCGACTGGCTAAGCCTGTCGAAGTGCCCGTCGAAAGATGGCAAAATACTTAGAAGATTTCTTCCAAGGAAGAAGGCTGATTGCCTTCGACGTCGAAGGAGTTTTTCGTCGAAGACGCTTCCTAATGAAAGTGTTCGATGGTCCAGAGTGGAGCAGTTTGAAATTCAAAGCTTTGGAGGGAAAACGGTTTCCAGCAGTTACTACGTGCGAACGTGCAAGGATCTGGAGCGTCGAGCATGGAGAACGTGCCAAGTGGCTTAATCTCGAAGCAGTGTAACTGCCCGACGGTTACTTGGATTGTTTTTGTATAAATAGGAGTAGACATGTAGTTTCTCGCGTGTGTTCACAATAAATACATAGTCACTCATTTAGATTCAAGTACCCAGTGTGAGCGAACGAATTGTTGAGAAATGTATGTGTGAAACACCAATTTTATCAATTCAAGTCATTTACTTTTCCAGTATTTTACATGCTTTTCCCCTTTAAATTCCTGTCGAACCTTTACATTCAAGCCTTGTTTATTTTACCAAGCCTTTCCTTTATGCAATTTACTTTGAACATTTTACTTAAAGCCTTATCCACATTAATCAAACTTCAAAATCAACCTATGTCCATAGGATCAATCTGATCGATCCTGCGAGTAACCAAATAAGTAACCATTTGGAGGATCAGCGGTTGTTTACCAAAACCCAAGGTAAACAATTATATATCATTTTTTTTTGTTTCTTACTTTTAACTAGTCATTTGTTTTGGTATAATACTTTTTATTAGATTTAGGTAACTTTGAAAATGTAAATTTTAAAAAATAATGTTAATTATAGTTTTTATATTTTAAATGATTTTTCATTCCCTAAATATAGGATAGTTTCTAATTTTTTCTAAATAAGTGGTAAATCATATGGTATTTTTTTACAAGATTTTGATTCCATGTTTTGATCTTACTATGAATTGTAACACTCTGAATAATACAATTTTAGAGTGGTACTGTTGAACGTGTTATATCTGGTACTGACTATCTCAAACGTGTCTAAATTACATCTACTCGACTATAACAATAAGTCCAAAACTCAGTGCACACATAAAATTGATGTCAACAAAAAATGCTAAATAGAAAAACATAGTGGAAACATTTGAATTAGATAAGGAAATCTTCACTAGCTCATCTTGCTTCATACATTACGTGAATGTTAATACACTAGCCTCATAAAGTCTGTCAAACTTAGGAGACGATTATTATAATGAATCCATATAACCTACTATAACTCCCTATTTTTGAGATTATTTTACGGAATAAAGGTTCAACTACTAAATCCTTCCATCAAATAAGGTTTATGGTACAACCTACTCAATTGCATTGAAACACTTTACACCAAATATGGCTATAAGTTACCACTCAACTCCATTGCACGGAAGTCCTTTCCGTCAAATATGGCTTTACGTTATGACATACCTCCATTATGTGGAAACATTTTTCTCCAAATTTAGATTTACAATACAACCTACATTAATTTTGTGGAATTAATCCTAGTGTCGAACTAAGTTAATAACTAGCCCTAGAAGCTAAGGCATTCACTATATTCATTTCTCCTGCTTCCATACAAAATCACTATCGGTATTTGCTGAACAACAAAGTGCCATTACACTTTCAAATATTTCTTACTTTCTAAAATACATCATTGTATCATAAGTATTTACCACAATTATCACACCCTTAGTTAATTCAAAGGTGCCTTATACATCTTGATTTTAGTTTACTTATTTTATTTAAACATAATACAATTTATTATGATTCTTCACATAATTACTAGTGTTGTCTACTCTGCATCATACAATAGAAATTAAAACATACAAGCTTCATTTTAGGGTTCCATTATTATTGAACATGGCATGCCAATAAATTTTTTGAGGCCAACACGGTCTTATCGTGCTTTCCCACATGAGTTGTGTTGAATTGGGACAATACATCCATTCAAAAATCTAAGGACAACTTAGTATATTCGGGTTGGCAATCCCGGGCCGTGTTATGCCCGTAACACAATTTTCATAATTTTTTGTAATTTAACCAATGACAAGATTTTAATAAAAGGTGAGTATAATACTTTATACCCTGTATTGAAAAATATACAATATTTTAAATAATTATTTAAAATAAACTTTATTAGAAATATAAATTATTTGAAAACCACGACACCGATAAAAAAATCTATGACCATTTTTAGAGATTGAATAAGTAATGAAGTAATAATATACAATAGAACGAAAATGTATACCATATTGTGACCAACAGTCCAATGTTAGGCCCCCATAAAATAAAATCAAACACAAACTCGCATCTAACAAAATTGTGGAGTTAATTTTACAAAGGAAGATATTTCAAAATAGATGCCTTTGCTCTTGTGAAATAAACGTTAAGTTAAACCTTTATTTTCTTGAATAATATAAATTTTCACTAAGATACTAAATTATATATTAAAAATAAAAAATAAAAATACGTCATTTTCTATTTTTAAATATAGTTTTTTTATAAAAAAAAATTCGTGTCCAAGCGAAAGTTATTTATTTCAGTTTTTGTGAATGCTCCTTTATTGCAGTCTATGTAATCTTGATTTTAACTTTTAATTGGCCCTTGTAAATTGTAGAATAACTGGTTTTAGTGGTTATGATGTTAATATTCGATGGACTAAAATCAACTATTTTACATGTTACTAGGATTAAATCTAAAATAGACAAAATTTTCCAGGATTAAAAAGAAAGAAAAAGGACAAAAATATAATTAATAAAATATTTCTAAGGACAAAAACTAAAATACTAAATTTATGGGGATTAAAACCCAAATAACTTTTTTTAAAGAAGGAAGTGCATATTTAATCTCAATCAAAACATTAGAGATATCGTGAATTTGTGAAATATGTTTTCAGTAAGGAGATTTTTTTTTTATTAATTTATGTGCTTTCATGAGATCATAAATTATTACAGTTTTTAATAAATTTTTTAACATACGCTTTTTTGATTAGTTAAAATTTATTTTAATATAATAAATTATTTGTAAAACCTATATTATATTTTAATTAAATGATATTTTTAAATTTTTAAATTTTTATCTTTGTGAATTAAACTTTGATATGAGCTTTTATATTCTTACCTTAAATAATATTTTAATAAAATGTGAATTAATATTTAATTTAAAAAAATTTAGATACAACTTAAATAATGTATTTGTTGAAAAAGGAGGAAATTATTGTCTCTAAGTTTCATATATATATATATATATATATATATATATATATATATATATATATATATATATATATATATATATATATATATATATATATATATATATATATATATATATATATATATATATATATATATATATATATATATATATATATATATATATATATATATATATATATATATATATATATATATATATATATATATATATATATATATATATATATATATATATATATATATATATATATATATATATATATATATATATATATATATATATATATATATATATATATATATATATATATATATATATATATATATATATATATATATATATATATATATATATATATATATATATATATATATATATATATATATAATTAAATTCAAAAACAATGTCGTCTTTTTGTGGTTTGAAGTTAATTTGATACTACTTATAACTTTTGTATGTTTTTATGATTAACAAGTTCATTATTCATTAAATATATTCAGTATTATAAAAAGAAATTAAAAATATATACTCTAAAATATTAAATATTAAACTCAATACATAACTTATTTCATAAAATTTATTGAACTCTTTTGAACAAAAAAAAGTGAAAAGCACATTGAATAAAATAAAATTAAAACCTATAACCCAAACATTCATAAGCATGGAGACCCCATAAGTATAATCGAAAAGACAATTTCAAATACCATAGGGATGAGTCCCAATTATTAATCGTAAATTAATAAAATTACATGAAATATAAAGACTTATAAACATTAACCAATTGGATTGTATAACTTATCCTTGCATTTGCACTTCCACACTTCTGATTCTGGAGGGGGACCTGACACGAGAATCGGTGTGCATGGAGTGCAAGTTTTACAACTCTTTATGCAAGTTGGAGGATGTAATCCAATCTTACTAGGAAACCTCCTTGAGGACAAAGTATTTGACACATCTAATTTGTTGTCAGGCACAACTTCTTGTGAAATTTTCTCAATCTGTTGACCAAAAAAATCACATGTAACCTCACTTTATAAATAAATTAATCAAAGATAATGATCATATTTCTTTAATCAGAATTAAATTTATACGGAAAGTCCTAATTTTTTATTCATGAATGTAGCAAATTCATAATGGGATTGTAGTATGTTTTGAAATTAAAAGAAAAACAAAAAAGTTTACATGTACGAAATATACAATTTGCATATATTTTAATTTGAATCTCTTTAATTTAAATTAGTTTAGACATAGATCTACGAAATTTGGCAATCAAAAAACGACAAATAAATATGCTACACCTAATAAGTTAGAATAAAAGAAGGGTAGGTAAAAATCTTTTATATATAACATATATGTTGAACAAAAAAGATTAAGTCGCTATACCTGAACATCAGAATCAGAGAATATCGCACACCTAGGATCTGTAATAAAAATAATTATAAGATGTTATTGTATTGAAGATATAAAATTAAATAATATTTAATTAAAAACTAAATTATTGAGAATGAAGATCGGAGAATAAGGGTCAACAAATTCATGCTTTGACATGTGATGGTTGAAGAAATAGTACTGGGAAACATCAATAAGAAAATTGACAACATGAAAAATGTGACATTACAAACGTTTGTTTTTCTCACAAACATAATTGAAATTCTTTTTTGCTTTCTATAACAATAAAAAATAGTTTATTTTTTGTTGTTGATAAGAACTAATCACTACCCCCCTCTCTCTCTCTCTCTCTCTCTCTCTCTCTATATATATATATATATATATATATATATATATATATATATATATATAAAAGTATTTTATGGTATTTTTGGTATTCTATGATTTCTTATTTTAAAGTAGTCAATTTTTTCATTTAAAAAGTATTATATTTCTTCTTTTTTTTGTTTCTTACTTTTAATTATGTTGGAAATCCACCAATACTCAATGATGAATTTCGACCACCACTGATGATTAGTTATGACAAATAAATAAAAGAACAATGGAGATATTTCTGCAGAATTTCTATTCTGCCCACAAACTGTGGAATCTTTATTAATTCACTTTGCAACTGCAAAATACTGTGAATGATTTGATTACAAAATAAGGGTTACTCCCTCTATTTATAGATTTAGGTTAGCTTGCTCCCTAAGCTAAACCCAAGCCCAAAATATCTCTTTACTAAATCAAATCTAATCTAGATTTAAATTCAAATCTATTTAAATCTAAACAAATCAAATCTTCTTTGGACACATATGAATTACAATTTAACACACCACCTAATTCATTGTGTCTAAACTGTCTATGTTCATCATGGCCCTTAGCTTTCTGAATACTTCGACCTGCACTCCCTTTGTCATGATGTCTGCAATCTGATTCTCAGTTCTGCAGTGTTCCAAATTCATCTTCCCATCTGCTACCTGCTCTCGAAGATAATGGAACCTCATTTCGATGTACTTACTTTGACCATGTGCTATTGGGTTCTTCGCTAGATTGATAGCTGACATGCTGTCTATTTTCATGGTAATTGCTCCATGATTTTTCCCTGTTATCTCTTCGACCAAGTTCACCATCCAGGTTGCTTGACATGCACAAAGAGAAGCAGCTATGTATTCTGCTTCGCATGATGATAATGCTACTACTGGTTCTTTTCTCGAACTCCAAGCAATTGTTGCACCACCTAGCATAAACACATATCCTGCTGTTGACTTTCGATCTTCAGCATCACTACACCAACTCGAATTAGTGTATCCCACTAACTTGCATTCTTTTCCTTTATCAACTGCAGGAAATAGAATGCCATAATCGAAAGTTCCTTTAAGATACCTTAGTATCCTCTTCACAGCTGCTAGATGTGATACCTTTGGTTTCTACATGAATCTACTTACCATACCTACACTGTATGCTAAGTCAGGCCTTGTATGACAAAGGTATCTCAATGATCCAATAAGTCTTCTGTATTGGGTTGGATCAACATCATCTTCATCTGCATCTTTCGACAATTGCAGTCTTGGTTCTGCAGGTGTCGAAGTTGAGTTGCATTCTTCCATCTCAAACCTCTTGAGAATTTCCCCTGCATATCTTCTTTGATGCATCATCAAACCTCTACTGCTCTTGTAGAATTCGATACCAAGGAAATATGAAATCTCACCCAAATCAGACATTTCGAATTCCTTGCTAAGATCAACTTTGAAGTCTTCGATCTCATTCTTGCAGCTACCTGTTATCAACAAATCATCTACATAGAGACATAGTATAAGCAATTTACTCTTGCTTCTTCTTACATATACTCCATGTTCAGTTATGCACTTCACAAATTCCTTCTCCCTTAGAAAACTATCAATTTTCTTATTCCAAGCCCTTGGAGCTTGTTTCAAACCATACAGGGCTTTATGCAGCCTGTACACCTTTCTTTCTTCGTCATGTTTCACAAACCCAACTGGTTGTTTAACATAGACTTCTTCATCTAAGGGTCCATTTAGGAATGCACACTTCACGTCAATCTGACATATGTGCCAACTGTTGATTTCTGCTAGACCAACAACCAACCTGATTGTTTCGATCCTAGCAACAGGTGCAAAAACTTCGTCGAAGTCTATTCCTTCTTTCTGTAGAAATCCTTTCGCCATAAGTCTTGCCTTGTGTCGAGTTACTTCACCTTTCGAATTCGTCTTCACTTTATATACCCACTTGACATCAATTGCCTTCTTGCCTTGAGGAAATTCGACAAGTGACCAAGTGTTGTTGTCTTCGATAGACTTTACTTCTTCGTTCATTGCTTTCACCCACTTCGAATCCTTTAATGCTTCAGCTGCATTAACAGGTTCGACATCTGCATAGAAAGCATAATGTACCATCTCACCTTCATCATTTATCACATCATCTGATGTAATCACACAATCTTGCAATCTTGCAGGCATGCGTCTTGTTCTTTGAGGTCTTCTTGTACTGGGTATATCTGCTGGCTCCTCTTGTCGAACTTCTCTTTCGACTTGAGTTTCTGGCTCTTCGAATAAGATTCCCACAGAATCTTTCTTGACATTTGCAGTCCAATCCCATTCTTTGAACTCATCTATGATCACGTCCCTGCTGATCACAATCTTCTTGTTTTCTGGATCGAACAATTTGTAGCCTCCTGTCGAATAATATCCAACTAGAATCATTTGACTTGACTTGTCATCAAGTTTCTTTCTCAACTGATCTGGCACATGTCTATGTGCAATAGATCCAAATACTTTCAGATGACTTAAGTTAGGCTTCACACCAGACCAACATTCTTCTGGAGTAATTCCTTCTAGCTTCTTTGTAGGACATCTGTTCAAAATATAAGTTGCAGTCGAAACGGCTTCACCCCAGAACTCTTTAGGTAAATTCTTGCCTTTCAACATACTTCTCACCATGTTCATGATGGTTCGATTTTTCCTTTCTGCAATTCCATTTTGCTGTGGAGTATAGGGTGGCACCACCTCATGCACAATCCCTTCTTTTTCACAAAATCTGTCGAAGTCTTTCGACACATATTCTCCTCCACCATCAGTTCTCAAAACTTTGAGCTTTCGACCACTTTGTCTTTTGACCATGGACTTGAATTGGTAAATACTTCGATCACTTCACTTTTCTGCTTGATCAGGTAAGTCCATAGCTTTTGACTGAAATCATCTATGAACGTAACAAAGTATTTATTACCTCCCATTGAATCCACCTGAATTGGTCCACATACATCAGAGTATATGACTTCGAGATTAGCCTTTGATCTGCTTCTTGCATCCTTGCTGAAGCTGTTCTTGTGTTGCTTCGCCTGCACACATTCTTCACATACTTCGTTTGGAATGTCAATTTCAGGCAATCCTGAAACCATATTTCTTCTCTTCAAATCTCTGATGTCTCTGAAGTTGAGATGACCTAGTCTATAATTCCATATCCATTCATCTCTGCTAGCTGCAGTCGAAAGGCACTTGTGTGTAAGTCTCAGAGTGCCTAAGAGGGGGGGTGGGGTGAATTAGGTCTTATAAAAATTTATTCGGTTTTAAGAGAATGCTTGGTGGTAATTTTTGGTTAAGTGTTTGAAGATTTTGATTATATCTTTATCTTTTCCTGATTATGGTGATGAAAGCGATAAATGCGGAAAAGTAAAGAACACGATGATATATCCTGATTCCCCTCACAATCCGAGAGTACTCCAGTCCCCTTTCTAACACGAAAGAGATTTCACTATAGTTAGAATGATTGTACAGCCTATGCTTACTATCTAACCTATAGGGCGATCAAAGGTTCTTAACACCTTTAAGACCAAACAAACACTAATGTGAATGAAGAACAATCCTCTTCAAATCACTACACTTACTTCCAACAATCCTGGATAGTAAGGGAATAATTTCTTTAAGTAATACAATGATTTAGTTTGAAGTATATGGAGAGCTTTATCAATCTTCAATTGATCTTCTTCTTCAAGATAAAAACAATTCTCAACAATGTATATAAATGTTCACAATGTATGTATGAAACTTGTAATGATAATGAAAGTGTATATGGCAAGTTTCACAAAATTATGAACACATGAAAGTATAAATTCAAAATGTGAATGATGAAAAATTGTTTATTGAAGAAGGTTTTTGTTAATTTGAAAATTGAAGCATTGTTTTTGAAATAAGAAAATCTGCATTTTATAAAGTCATAAGAACCTCTTCATTCATGCCAATTCATATGAAAAGTTGCAATGCATTCATGAAAAGATACCACTTGAAAAATGTTTAAAAAACAAAATAAAAGTTGTACTAGTTCGCTAGGAACCGGTTCCGACACTGACAGAACCCGGTTCTTAGTGAATGTTATAAGTTGGAATTCAAAAATATCACACAGGAACCGGTTCCCCTATTGGTACAACCCGGTTCCTGGTACAAAAACCAGAGACATGTTATTTGAGAAATTCTGGAGCCCGGTTCCCTGTTAGGGAGGAACCGGTTCCTAAAGGGTTATTTTCAAAAATACTTTTTGAAAGATATTTCAAACAAAGTTTTCTTGATGTTAAAGTTATGGAATATGTATATGTTGATGAATGCATATTGTGAACATCTATATTCAAGATTTTAAGAATTATTTATACCATTTGACATTTGATGATTCTTCAATAATTCTTCAATAATCTTCAAGACTTTTATTTGATGTTGATAAGCTTTTTGAACATCCTTTGAATGTTGATGTCCATGTTGTCTTCATCAAAACACATGCTTTAAATATGACTTGAGAAGCTTTCAATTACATTCTCCCCCTTTTTGATGATGACAACCAAGTCTTGAAAACGATTTCTTGAAATGTTTATGTTGTTTTGTATAGCAAACATGTTGAGCAAATGCAAGGCTCCCCCTAAATTGTATGCTCCCCCTAAGTCCATGATTCTTTGAATTTTGGAGTGAGTTTGATATTTTATGTGGGCCTGCAATTTCTTTGAAACAAAACAACACACATGCATATTCTTCTCCCCCTTTGTTAACATCAAAAAGGATGGGGAAAAAGAGTGAAATAAATTCATATAAAAATTAAGACGTAAAAAAAACATATAAAAGAATTAAGACGTGCATTTTAAGAGAAACAT